CATAAAATTTGTGATAACTACATCTAAAACAACAACAAAAAAAGACTTAATAAATACAAAACAAAATAAAAATCCAAAATCTGAAGGATGAATTTATTCTATCACCTGCAAGCATTGCCAGAAAGAATATATTGGAGAAACCTCAAGAAATTTAAACAAAAAGCTATATGAACACAAAAGAGATATTTTAAGAAAACAACACACAAAACGCATTGGTTGTTCAAAGTAACGAAACTGACGACAATTATGATATAAAAATGTTACTCTAATTAAAAGAGAAAATAATTCGCTAAGAAGAAAATGCCTAGAAAGTGATTTAATCGCTTGTTCAGGCAAAGTAAATTTTCGTTCAGGTTATTACAACGCCTCCTCATTGTTGGCAGATTTATATTATCACAATGGAATCTGAATAGATTGCAAAAATTACTTCAAAAAGATTATTTCAAAATTTTAAAACTACCAGCATCTCTCATTCATACACATGGGTAGTCAAAACAACAATACCAACAAACCCAGTCCGTGGAAGTCCACGGATAAAACGCGTCACAAATAAACTTTATACATTTTTGTCTTACAATTTCCCCAGTAGTGTTTCTTGATGCATAGATATATATATCATTATCTGTCTCTTTTTCTTTCTCTCTCTCCCCCCTTCCACATATATATTATAATATTTTTATTATACGAGATTTATAATAAAAGCAATTTACATCGTTACACAAAAGCTTTCATGTTTCAATACTATTGTACTTCCTCAGTCGATGGTTGGTAACTGGTGATAAAAATGCTACTAACTGTGGAATTTATTCCATTTGTTCTTTCTCTTATTTGTATATATATATATATATATATATATATATATATATATATATATATATATATATACACACACACACACACACACACACACATATATATATATATATATAGTACAGAAAAGGTTAATAGTCAGAGTTGAATCAGACCAGGAAACAGTAATATTAAAAAGTGCGCAATATATGTGTGAAAAAACAAAAGTAAAAATAAAACACACACACACACACACACACACACACACACACACACACACACACACACACATATATATATATATATATATATATATATATATATAAAAAGCTTACGGTCAAATCGATCAGTTTTCATTCGATCATCGAAATTAAGTGGCGCCGAGCGCGTTTAGTAGAAGGGGGTAATTTAGTAGACGGAAGTCAATTTAGTAGAAGAGGGCGATTTAGTAGAAGAGGGCGATTTAGTAAAAGGGGTGATTTAGTAGAGGGGAGATTTAGTAGACGAGGGTGATTTAGTAGAGGGGAGATTTAGTATAAGAGGGTGATTTAGTAGAGGGGAGATTTAGTAGAAGGGAGCGATTTAGTAGAGGGGAGCGATTTAGTAGAAGGGTGTGATTTAGTAGAAGGGAACGGTTTAGTAGAGGGGAGCGATTTAGTAGAAGGGAGCGATTTAGTAGAAGGGGGTGATTTGGTAGAAGGGAGCGATTTAGTAGAAGGGGTGATTTAGAAGAGGGGGCAATTTGGGAACACTTGGTACTGTAAGCGAATATCGAGTACAAAAGCGATTGAATCGATATTTTCCCACCACCAGTCCTAAATAGTCGGACTTGTATCTGGAAAAATCACCGTTCTTATTAAAAGAATGGTTACTGAAATGTTCACTCGCACCCCCACCCCAAACAAAAAAAAATACAAAAGAGGAAATACTCTTACGATCCCAAAAGGTTGTAAAAACGTATCGGGACTGATGCTATAAAACGAAAACTATAACGCATATCAATTCGGCATTTAATCTCCTTCGAAATAGCCCCTTCTGAAGTCTCACACTTTATCCAGCGTCGTTTCCCTTGATGGGCGCATTCCTGAAATTTTTATTTTGCCTCATCGCATTCTCTTGGACTGCCTCGACGATAGATTCACCTATCTACTTTTACGATTTGGTAGAATTCTCCGATATGCCAGTGTGTAGTTAAATAAGCTTTCCAATTTTTATATGACATTTGGTGTTGTGTTCATTGCCACTTGAGATTCACTAGAGGAAGGAGATACAACTTATCTGTAAGACATCCCCTATGAAACGGAAAGAGTGTACCATTCCCTTATATACTACTTTGGTAACACCCTCTAGCAGTTGTTAGCAGAAATTATTTGACCAACAAGTGGGGTATTCAGATAGATGCTCAAAAATCATTTAATAGTAGATTCCTGCTGATAAGTAGAAGAACAATATCAAACGTTGAAGTTGAATGTAATTGGTGTTTCCTTCAGTCTTTTTAATAAAAGGAATAAACGAGGAAGACACCTTAAACTTTCTGCATTCTACTTCTTCAGCCATAGTGGTATACCAATACTTTAACAATAAACGATAACTAAGCTTGCTGATAATTAACATTTGCAAGTATTTATAATACTAGAATTTTTTGGGGACAAATCCTCACAGTATTTAGTATTGTTGAAGTTATCGCTTTTTTGTCGAGATTTGCAATTTCGCAAACCAATCGATGAAATTTGAATAAACTGACTTTAAAAAAAAATACTTTGACAAAAACCCTGCTTCGCGGTTTAATAATTTTCTTAATTTAATTTAATTTTATAGGACTTCATAGTAAACAATATTTTTAAAGAAAATTTATTTTTTTCCTCTTTACTTTTTAACAGCGAAGAATAAATTGTTAGGATTTCTTACTCCTGAGCATGCAACATACAACTGGTCATACGTAAATATTTCTTTTTAGAACTAAATTACAACTTTTTGGATCGTTCGGACTTGCCACTTTTTTTTATAGTTTTCGCAGACACTGGGCGAACTGGAAACTGGATTCTTGTAAATAAAAAAAAAACTTAAAGAAAAGATACGCAAAAGATCAATACTGCATTTTATTCAATAAGTATTTGTTATTTTAATCATTAAATTGTTTTTAAAATAATAGGAGTATTTTGTATGTTAAATAATAAAACTTTTAAGTTTTCCCCCCAAAATGATTTATTGTATTAAGCTATGCAACTGAGTAAAACAAACTGTCTCCTTTTTAACCGCTTACGTGTTTGCACCTCGGCCCAACATTTGGTTTCGATCGTTCAGTGTATGGCTATTTTAAAGGGGGTAATGGACGGACGGACAAACGGAAGTCCCAGGATTATATATATATATATATATATATATATATATATATATATATATATATAGATAGATAGATAGATAGATAGATAGACACTATAAATAGGAAGTTAATTTAGATATCACCTTTAAGCGAATTCACGAGCAAATTAAGCATTGCAGAAAATACTGCAACGATGTCTTCGAACATATAATAAAATTTACAGTCATTTTACAGCTAAACAGTGAACTCAAAGTTTTCTTTTTAATAATATTCAATTAAATGTTGTAAAGATAAATTCTTTAAAGGAATTTTACATATAAAATGTTACAAATAATAACAGATAATTATTATAGACTTGAAGTGTCACTAAACAATTTTGATGAAGGAAAACAAAAATGAAATATAAATTACTGATTTACCATTTAGGTCCAAATAAAAAAAATAATACCATTTCTCCTCCTTCTTTACCCTCGTCTACTTCTATCTCCTACTCCTCTTTTTTTCTTTTTCTTTGCATCGTGTGGACGTGGACTAATATGACTCTGTACAACTTCCTATCACACATGGCCCATAGCAGCGTCTCTTCCTTTGCTACCCCCACCCCCTATTTCCGGCATCCATTTACACAAGCCCGTCAGGTCGATGGCCGACTGAATTCAAATATGTTTTCCTCGATATGCCCTGTGAGGATTAAATTTTCCAAGCCCTTCTTACTCATCATGTATCCAAGAAATTCCAGCTGTCTTTTTCTAAATATTCCTTATAATTGTTTCCATTTTCCTTAAAACATCCTTGTTGCTTACTCGCATCTTTCATAGAATTCTCAGTATCCTTCTGTAGAATCTCATTTCAATATCCTCATTTTCTCATCATCTATGAGGAAATTACACCGATAAAAAAATATCAATGTGAACCGCAAGGTACTAAATTTTGTAAATCTAGTTCATGCAGACCTATTAATAATAATCGATATTATTCAATTCGCACATATAAATAGGGAAAAATAAGATGTGTAGAATGTGAATTCTTGTGTTGGAGGAACGATGGAGGTTTTATTTGTAACAAATTGAAAACAGTAAAAGACAGAATTTGAAAACAATTCAGTAAGGAAATTTCAAGAGAATAAATATAAGAATAAAAGAAACAGAAAAAGAATCCGGATTGCAACAAAATTACTTTAATCATTTTTGACCGATTCGTCCTTCCAACATTTTTGGCTCCAAAAAGCGTCAAACCATTTCTGTTCCTCTCTTCTCTTTGTTACGAGGATCTTAAAGCTAAAAAAAAAAAAAAAAAAAAAAAAAAAAGAAATCACTTAAAAAAAACCCCAAAAAATCAAACAAGAAGACCTCCAAAATTCTTGAAGCAGCAAAAAGGCAGAGTTTTTTCTTTATCTATTCAAGACGCGAAAACAGATGTGTTCTCCGTGATCATCTGACGTCCAGCTGCTTACTTCGATTCCAGTTTTGGTTCGGCTTCGCCCCCGCTCCAAATTCTTCTGTAGCTTTATATTCTTCCGCAGCCTTTCCTTATTTTTTTTCCACCGTCATTGGATTTAGCGTTCGCCATTTTCCACGTAATGCGTCTCTGCGTGTATAGGGTAGGATCTTATTGGCTTTCGTCTCCTTAGTTAACGCCTATATATATATATATATATATATATATATATATATATATGTCGTGGATGTTTCTTTAACACAATAAAGAAGGCGTTGTTAACTGTTTTCAACTCCGAATTTCCTAGTTTTAATTTCTGCCTTAGCCATTATGCATGCGCTATCAAATAAACCTTGGAATGAAAACATCTTTTTTTTTTCCCAAGTGACACGTGACATAGTATCCGAATCTTCAAGATTATGATAATTTACTTTTAGGCATTTTCTTGTTGATGCTTCGTTCTTTTTTCTCCCTTTTTTCTAGGGTTGGGTGGGGGGAGTTTCAGTACTTAGGCGATAGGTTAGAAATTTTTGGTAGAATTCTTCACTTCATAAGCAAGAGAAGAATTAACTTTTAATAGATTCTTCAATCGTTACCAACATTTAATATTATTACATCTATCTATCTATCTATCTATCTATCTATCTATCTATCTATCTATCTATCTATCGCATTCTGTTCATATCTATCTATCTATCTATCTATCTATCTATCTATCTATCTATCTATCGCATTCTGTTCATATCTATCTATCTATCTATCTATCTATCTATCTATCTATCTATCTATCATGAGTTCTCAAATGAAAGAACACAAAAAATATCGCGTTTCTTCTCTACAAGGAACTTCTTCAACCTTGTACGCTTTTCGGTACTTAAGCTCACCCCAGACCTTATATATATATATATATATATATATATATATATATATATATATATATATATATATATATATATAAAGGAGTAAGCACGAAAGATTTAAATGTTTCACTAATAAACTACATAAACCAGTGTTTACCACCAATTTATGGATGCTGAATTCAAATTAATACTTTGACAAGCTGAGGCCAAGGTCATTAAAATGTCCTATTTTTATCAGTCCTATAATGAATGACCTATTACCCGTAGACCGTGTATAATACAGTGTCGGGTAGCTGTTTCCCGAGACGAAAATCTGCCCTTCGACATAGCCTCGTCTGGGGATCCTCTCTGCCTAGAGACAGAGACATTGACCAGCAGAGCTGGAGATGAATCAATTGAAGATCAACATACAGTATTTACTACTGTATTTATGTGAATGGGAACATGCTCATTATCGCCCGTAAGTATGCTACAACAATTCATTATAGTAAAAACGGGATGCATGAAGGCAAAAAGAACAAATAAACGTGATAGAATCAACTGTTTGGAAAATTGAATTCAACACTTCAGAATTAGTAAAAAAAAAAATCTGTTCATAGAGAATATCAATATTTTTTTTTTAAACCAGTTCGAAGTCTAGTTCGTTTAGAGCAAAATTCTGATCAACTTGGGATACGTGAAATTATATACATTTATGTAAACATGATGAGACAATGTGGGAAATCTAGAGCCTGTTCTCTGGCTTACCCAGGTTAGGATGAAAGAAAAACAAATCTGTATGTAAAAAAAAAAAAAAAAAATCCTTGCGATCGCTTAGGATAGGTGTAGACCATAAATCGAATTACCTTATCGCATCCATGGCCATCCATCCACTTATATATATATAAATCAATAGATGCTATTACACACACACAGAGGACGAAACGCGCCGGTAAAGAAAAATTTCCTAGTTTGTCTTTATTTATACTGCCTTTTTACAGATATATTTATATCTGCATTTTTTCACATACACGCTCTCGCTCTCTTTCTCTCTCTCTCTCTCTCTCTCTCTCTCACACACACACACACACACACACATATATATATATATATTTATGTATATGTGTGAGACGTATGTATGTATATAGGAGGAGAAGTTGAAAGGTTTTCAGCGCGACCAAGAAGGAGTTCAAAAAATAAAATCTGATGTTTGGGCAATTTTTTAGTCTTGGGTCTAGCCTAGAGTTTTTCAGCACTTCTCTCCATAGGTCTGATGAATTGGATCGTGATTATGATTCCAGTGTAATAAATTATAACCATGGCATATTAGTGTTTGAGCCTTTTATATTATATTCTTACTCTGTCCTGGACATTGAGTTCTTCCTTGGTAATTTATATATATATATAAATATATATATATATCCCTCTAGGTAATTTATATATATATATATATATATATATATATATATATATATATATATATATATATATATATATGGTGGTACTCGTTTGGAAAAAACCTCGTATAGCTCAAACTGCGGTACCCGAAGAAAGATCGGGAATAAAAAAAAAAAGTCTTAAGAACATTAAAATAAAGGCGTAAACAATCGTCCAGTGTTTAAGCTCCAAGTCGAAAAAAAACAAAAAAACAAACAAAACACAAAAACGAGTAAAAAGACAACTACATAAAGTGCTCAATACACTAAGTAGAGCAAAAACGAAGATAATCCTAAGGAGCCAGGCAAACCCTGCCTGGCTTCTTATTATCTCATATATATATATATATATATATATATATATATATATATATAAAAATATAGTTTTAAGGTGTGCTATATTTATGGGATAAAGTGCTCATTATCAGAGATAGAGCGTGTGTAAATATAAAAGTGAACATTGAAGTCAACACTCAGAGGCAACAGGCTGTTTCATGCTTGACACAATCGATTGCGTCTAACATGAAACAGCCTTGACCACTAATATTATGAAATAGCCTTGACCACTAATATTATCAATATATATGTGTGTGTGTATGTGTGTGTGTTTGCGTGTGTAAGCACATATGTGCATCTATCTATATATATGTAAGCACATGTGTGCATCTGTATATATATATATATATATATATATATATGCGTGTTTGTACATTTTAGGTGATTACACACATACACATGTGTGTGTGTGTAAATTAATCGTCAGATGCGTGTTTTGCGAAAAACTTAGTTATATTTCTATTGTCTCGTTCCTACCGCGCTTATATGTTTCCCATTTGAACGTGTTTGCACATTTTATTGAATGTGTAGAGATGAACACACATGCCTTTCAGTCTACGCATGCGCAGAAACGCATTTGCATCAATACTTTTGATCTAATCACATCATCGTGTACACATGGCGAAAAACTCAATTTGCGAACGGGGATAGAAAGCTTAATTTATTTTCCCAAAGACACAGTGATCATCTCAGGGGAAACAATTCTTCTAGAACATTCGAAATTACGTCACCTCAAGTTTGTACAAAGAAGTTTTTTCACAAAACCGAGCGCGCATGACAGTGTTCTGAAACTCAAATTTGACAGTTGCTGTCAATTAATTTTTTTTTTCTTATTTAAAGTTTTTTAACTTTTGATGCATGGTCAGGATTTTTACTTTAATTTTATTTTATTTTATTTTCTGCTACTGGCATGGCTATAATGAAGCTCCGGTCTTTGTTTAGAATTTGAAAATCAATTATGTGGTTCCTTAATACAGATTTGTTGTGTGTTATTCATCATACATTACACATATCTGCGTAAGATCTATCTATCTATCTATCTATCTATCTATCTATCTATCTATCTATCTACCAATTTAAGTCTGTTTTCTATCTATCTATCTATCTATCTATCTATCTATCTATCTATCTATCTATCCCATTCTGTTAATATCTACCCCCCCCTCTCTCTCTCTCTCTATCTATCTATCTATCTATCTATCTATCTATCTATCTATATATATATATATATATATATATATATATATATATATATCTGTTCATATCTACCTATCTATTTTAGTTCATCCATCTCTATTTTTCTATATCTCGTTGTATTAATCTCTTTCTCTCTCCACTCTCTCTCTAAGAATTCATCTCATTCTATTCATCTCTGGTACGTTTTATTCTCCCTTCTCCCCCCCTATACAGTAAGCTTGATAACAGAGTAAATATCTTTTCATAATTTGGTATTTGATTTTTTTACCCATTGGGAAGGTGTTGCTAAAAGATTCTTAGAGATTTTGACGTTTTTGTTAAGTTTACCGAATAAACTTATACTTTTCTGTTATCCTATTTGGCTCTTATTTTCGGTATTCTTCTGAGGCTGGCACAAGGCCGTAACATAGTATCACTCAGTGAAGACCGAATTTGTTATCGGAACAACGAATTTGAGTAACGAGCATATTAATAATTATTCCATAGAAGGGACCTAAGATATATATATATATATATATATATATATATATATATATATATATATATATATATATATATATATATATATATGTAAGCTACGTACCATAAACAGTGACAATGCGAAATGATATAAATCAGATTTGGGAAGATTGTGTCACGTCATATATAAAGAGGACAATATTGCTAAAAAAATACATTTATGCGATCAGCTCTTCATGCGAACCACTGCTCCGTGGAACTAAAAAAGGAAGCTTCCCTGATCATTACAAACTAGATCAAGTCTAGAGTCAGCCGTTATTTGCCCCACATATTCGCACAAACTGTGCCTCTTACTCTGGGACCCTCTACCTGCTTTGTGGAACTAAAAGAGGATGCTTCCCTGATCACTACAATCATAACCTGTTCAAGTCTAGAGGCCACCGTTATCTTCTCCCCCTCTTATCCATATAAACTACCCCTTAACGTACCCCTCTACCACGAGAGCCCCTGACCTTGTACAGGTTGAACATTACTGTTAAAGAAAAAAGAAAGGATAAAAATCGCCACTGAGAGAACTTTATCCCCGAAGATGACGTGACGTCTTTACATTAGGTCATCCTGTTTTAGGAGCGTAAGAAAGCGTCAAATAGGGTTTATATCTCTTCCTTTTCCTCCTCTTTATAATTTGCCAAGCGGGTTTTAAGCGAAAATTTTCTAGCAGGGAAGGTGGATTAATTCCAGAATAGTATTCGTAATCTTGGCTTCTTTTTTGAGAACTCGATTAATTAATTTGTTGATGTCGAAAATATTTTATTGGTGACGAAAAATAAAATAAAATAATTATTAATAATTATGTCATGTTTATGTGGCCAAGTGGTTAGAGCGTTCACTTTCTGACCACGAGACCCGGATTCAAATTTCACCATCGTCGATTATGTCAGGAAGATGACACCTTTGACCATCGTCGATTATGTCAGGAAGATGACAACATTGACCATCGTCGATTCAGGAAGATCAGGACCATCGTCGATTATGTCAGGAAGATGACAACATTGACCATCGTCGATTATGTCAGGAAGATGACACCTTTGACCATCGTCGATTATGTCAGGAAGATGACACCTTTGACCATCGTCGATTATGTCAGGAAGATGAAGATGACCATCGTCATTGACCTTTGACCATCGTCAGGAAGATGACAACATTGACCATCGTCGATTATGCCAGGAAGATGACACCTTTGACCATCGTCGATTATGTCAGGAAGATGACAACATTGACCATCGTCGATTATGCCAGGAAGATGACACCTTTGACCATCGTCGATTATGTCAGGAAGATGACAACATTATCGTCGTCAGGAAGATGACACCTTTTACCATCGTCAGGAAGATGACACCTTTGACCATCGTCGATTATGTCAGGAAGATGACACCTTTTACCATCGTCGATTATATCAGGAAGATGACACCTTTCCCCATCGTCGATTATGTCAGGAAGATGACACCTTTGACCATCGGTGATTATATCAGGAAGATGACACCTTTCACCATCGTCGATTATGTCAGGAAGATGACACCTTTCACCATCGTCGATTATATCAGGAAGATGACGCCTTTGACCATCGTCGATTATGTCAGGAAGATGACATCTTGGTGTTATTGGTCTGGATGAGGCGCTCCCAACGTGTGGCATCTTTAGAAAATGCCTGAAAAACCCTACGACGAGTTGACCCAAGCCTTTCGAGTGAAATTGTGTAGACGGAACGCTTGGGAGCCGTCGATGGCTGTGGTAGCAAGAAAACACAAGTCATCGTGACCAAGGTGTTTGATTGTGCTGCCTTGTTCAGACTACTGATCACGCTAGATAACACGCTCTCTCCAAGAATCTGTAACTAAAGTCCACTCAGCATAGTTGAATATAAATATGTGGGTGTTGTAGAAACACATAATGTGCCTGAGCAGTCGTCTGTAACGGGGATTAACAAGCCGCCTTAGTAGACCGGCATCCTCGGATACGAGTGGCTACGTCATTTTAGATTTTTAGATGAATCAAATAGATATCGTCTCTCCTTTTAAAGGGAAACTTAACAAATGGAGTTAATTTCTGAAAAATAAATGACAAAGAAGCTGTATTGTCAAACGTCAACAACCTTAATTTGAACGGGCAGATGCAATCTTAAAAAGCCATTTAAAACACCTAAATTGTAATTTTTGTTGATATTTTTTAGAATGTTTTAGTTGAATGTGTCAGTTTGGAAATGTTGATATGACAGTCTTGGATAAATGCTGACTCATACAGTCATTCATGCTATATATACATCATGGCTTCAAGATTAGTGTCGAGTTATGGTTTAAAATAATATGACTCTTTAAACCGGACATACTTTAAAACTATATTTATATATATATATATATATATATATATATATATATATATATATATAAAAGTGAACATATGATATTGAGCACTTTATCCCATAAATATAACACTTTATCCCATAATATAGCACACCTTAAGACTATATTTCTCACACACACACACACACACACACACACACACACACACACACACACATATATATATATATATATATATATATAATGAAATGGACAAAGTCCAAACAATTATTTTAAGACATTTTTATGTTTTATACATTATTTTTTATAGATACAAATATTTAAATAAATGCTCTGTTTTATAATAAACAGTATTAAACAACATTTACCAGCCTGAATGTCAAGAAATTTTCATAGACAATATTCGTCCTCTGTGAAAATTTCTTGACATTCAGGCCCGTAAATGTTGTTTAATACTGTTTATTTAAACAGAGCCTTTACTTAAATATTTGGATCTAAAAAAGAATGTATAAACATAAAATGTCTTAATATATATATATATATATATATATATATATATATATATATATATATGTTATGTGGTTTCACGGTGGAGGCTTGTATTTGTACTAAGTCGATCCTAAAATAGGTTCGACGTACAAAACGTTAGGAACTTGATATAATAGGTAATGACGCAGAGAAATCTAGTGGTGGTCGCTGATACTTTAGTATCCGACTAACGGTCGTCCGGCATCGACTGACTGATCAACTCACTGAGCGACTGCGCGACGATATTCAGTCACCCCCCACCCCCACGAGGGCGTCATGTGGCACAAGGCCTTTTTAACGTGGGATCTCCGAGCCCGTGGTCTCGGCCAAAAATATGCCCATTGAACCCGTATAAACGGGTTCAGGGTCGGTTTACCTCCCGAAAGAGAATCCGCCCTTTGGCGTAGCCTCGTTCGGGTTCCTCCCCGCCCGAAAGCAGAGAGTTCAACCGGTCAGCCGGTCGTCCGACTTCAGACTGAACTCAGACGGACCCACTGAGAGACTGCGCCACTGACTTGTTACTCTTACTACTCCTACTTACTATAGGTGGGAGAGTCTATTAACTATAGAATAGGTGTGTTCCCTTATAAGAATATATATAGCTTTTATCTCCGGAAACTGTCTTACATATCTAGACGTCTACCATTCGTCCATACTTAGAATATTGCTTCACATACGGTCTGGTGCCGTTGTTAGTTACCTTTAGCTCCTTGATGATATTCCAAGAAGAATCAGCAACATTATCTATCCCGATCTGGCAGTTCGGCGTCAGCCTCTTTGTGTCTTTTTTTATTTTTATAAATACTTTGATGGTAATTGTTCGGATAAGCTCTTCGCTATGGTACCTAGACTTTAAGAATTTAAGCGTAGTAATAGACTAGCGTAGAGATCCCATCAATTTACAGTTGAGCTGGCTAGATGTAACCTTAAATTCTATGCTAACGTTTTCTTTTCTCGCTCTTCTCGCTTGTGGAACTCCCTTCCGGCCCCATGCTTTCCAACCAACTTTAAACTGCAAAAAATGCAATGTCAGTCGCTATTTTATAATAGCCTCACAAGCATCAATTGCCAACAAGAGGTCCGTTATTTGGTTTTCTCCTCCGATTAATTTTAGAACCTTTCAGCTTTTTGAATCCTTTTAGCTGCTAATATCCTAAGCCATTCATAATTATCTAATAATAAGTGTTCGTTCGGTTAGTTAGATCTCGGCGACGCTATTGTTGTTTATTTTTACCTACTCACGAGAAGTAGTATGCACTCAACCGCCTCATGCGAAATAGTCGTAGCTATTTATATTATTTGTGATTTTACATGTAAATGTGACACCTCAATTGATTTGATAGATATTGAATCTTGTGAGGAGAAGCCAGTAAGGATTCACAGACAACTTAATAGCACTGGTCAACGAAACTCGGTTCCCCACAGCTACATTCTACGTCGAGGCGCCTTCAACTCTTAAGGAAAACTCATAAAAAAAATATTCTGTTTCTCGGTTTATAGTTCCTATTTTGTAAATAGTACAGAATTCAATAAGTACAGCAATGTATAAAAGTAGAACTTAAAAACAAGTGAGATATGCACACACCCTATTTCGAGCCGACGGCATTGAGTATAAATGTCAATGTAAGGGAAAAAAACGTCATTAGTTTCTGGGTAACCTAATATTACGTATATTTATAGCATTGTGACATACATTAACCCGCATTATATATATATATATATATATATATATATATATATATATATATATATATATATATATAAATATATATATATATATATATACAAATATATATATATATATATATACAAATATATATATATATATACAAATATATATATATATATATACAAATATATATATTTGTATATTTAGGCAGCAATCCTTCCTTTATGCATGTTTCGTTAAAAACGACAGACAAGGTACTACAGTTGAGCTTTTATTTAATTTTTCTTGTGTTCTGACATAGATACATAGAACACACTCTACTAAGCTGATAATTGAACCATCCTTGATAATGGCTAAAGGTATAGCCGAAAGCGCTCGGAAACACAGAACATTCGGACAGTTCTTACACACTCTTTGTCCAGAAAAGAAAGCTCTTGTCAGAACACAAGAAAATTAAAAAAAAAAAAATAAAAAGTACCTTGTCTGTCTGTAGTACATTGTCTGTCGTTTTAATACAAAACATATATATATATATATATATATATATATATATATATATATATATATATATATATATATATATATATATATATATATATATATAAATATATATATATATACAAATATATATATATATATATATAAATATATATATATATATATATATATATATATATATATATATATATATATATATATATATATATATATATATATATATAATATATATAATTAATTGGTGTATACGGAATGAATTCCAATAACCAACGAAGAAATAAATTGAAATAAATAAATAAATAAATTGAATAACATATGTATTTTTTCTTTTCTCCTCAGTAATTTTATAGTTTTTAAACTTAATACTGATTAAATTTGGATGTTGAAATTGGCAGTTTTTAATTTTAATATCAAATTTTATCATATAATTTAATAATTATTGGTTAGAATAAATTCTTTTTAATATTACCCGTATTTTAAAGATCTGAATATCTATTATAACATGATTTCGTGTCAAGCTTTTGAATCTTCCTATACTTGGGTTTTGATTGGTCATTCTAGCTTTTGTAACAACGTTTTCCCCTAGCGAAGGATCGTTAATTAATTTGAAACTTTTAAAACCATTTATTTTATATTCAACATCATCACTTGATAAGACACCGAGGGTGTTGAAACAAAATGGCTATTTTTGTAGTGATTTTATAACATATTTATATTATAAATTTTTTTTTTATAAAAAATAATTATATATATATATATATATATATATATATATATATAATCTAATGGTTCAAACGTTCCCAGAATTAGCATGGAGTGAACTTGTCAGAATAGTGAAAAAAAAAAAGAAAAAAAAATGAAAAAGACTTCTTAGAGTCATTAAAAAGAGAATGAAAATAATTATCAGATTTATTATGCCCCAAAATTTTTGCTGCATTAATCAAGCCTAAAGGAGGATATTTTGACGAGAGCAAAAGTTAACCATAAAATGCTTTTCTTATTTTTGCCGCAATAGAATTTCTAATAAAATATCATGACGTTTGCCCGATAACGTAACTGCGCGGGTTTCAATTCTCGGTAGTGGATGCGCACTGCTGATGAGTCCCAAATATAGGACGAAACTGCTGTCCGGTGCTTTCTGCATTCAGGTGAGGTTTCTTCCAGACTCGATGAATTAATTATATATATATATATATATCAGTTTCATTAAAACGGCTGTCAATGTACTGCAGAGAAATCTTTTATTTAATTTTTCATGTCATCTTAAAATTTTCTTCTTTTCTGGGTGTAAATTTTGTAGAAATTGTCCAAAATCTTTGTATGTCCGGGCGATTTCGGCTATCCTTTAGCCATTATCAAGGACGATTTTATTTTTACTTTAATGTAGAGATTGTTTTATGCATGTATCTAGAGTTATAGGGATGTTTTATTTTATATGCCCAAAGTGTGCTGACCGTGTTTGGTAAATGAAATTTTTTAATGACACTCGTATAACAAAGATATTGTTACCCAAATACACAATTATATATATATATATATATATATATATATATATATATATATATATAGGTTGCTTAATAAAATAATGGACAAACGAAAAGATACCATTATATTCAAATACATGGGAAACATTTTTAAAGGCGTTCACTGATTTTAGTTATTATATATACAATACTAATAGAAAAAAAAAGCGTAAAATTTCCATAAAAACCAAAAATTAAGTATAAACAAAGCTCATTATATTGCCTAAAATCATGAGGGACATTGGATTTTTCTAAATGCCACACGTAATTTCAAAAGGAAAATAACGTTTCTTAAAATTTTGATTCTCACTTGTTCTCTCACACAGTCTCTCATACATAACCACATACATAAACAATCATTAAGTACAAGGTTTCTTGAATTTTCGGTGGAAGTATCATTTTCATCAATTTTAAACCATTAGCGATTTTCACTATGGAAGAGCATATATGTAAAAATCTTTTGATTTTCAAATAGAAAACTTTCATAAAATTTTTCCTTAAAGAAAAAAAAAAAAATACCTTTTTTTTTTTTCAAAATGATGAATTAAGCATAAATCAGACGCGTATGTTTAATCCCACTGCCATCAGAGATAATATTATATGAAGGCTTCAATTTTTTATTTATAGAAAAATCTTTTCTTTAAAGAAAAAAAAAAAATTACTCTCATTTCTAAGGTAGATGCTTGCACATATGACCTTCTGTTGTGAAAGTAGCTGAGGTACTTTTTACGGAAAATTACCTTGATACTTTTTAGCAGTGCGGTTCGCTATTTGATGAGCCATAGGTCATGCTGCCCGCTACTCGAAAAAGGTTGTTCATGCCGGGTATAGCTTCTAACAAATTGGATTATCGTGATTATTGTCGGCTCTGGTGTATTAAATAAGAGTAAGTATTCTATTCCTCCTCTCTTCACTCAGTTTGAGGTGTTAATATCTTCTGCTGATAACGCAAAATATTTTGCTCGTAAATTCTCTTCCAATTCTAATCATGACTCATCTGGAGCATCTTTGCTTGACATGCCACTCAAAACCGGATCTGTATTGTGTGATATTCATTTAATTCTATCCATGGTGTCTGCTATCATCTCTAAACTGGATACCCACATAGAATGTGGACTATATTCTGTTCCTGCAATATTCAATGTGTTCCTAAATTGACTCATGTTCATTATAAACTAAAATAAACGTCATACTGTTTCATCATTTCCTGCTTGTTGGAAATTCTCTTCGCTAGTTCCTGTCTTGAAGAACTCAGACGACCCATCTTATCGTTCCAAATATCGGCTTATTAGCCTTCTACCACGTTTTGGCAAAGTACCAGACGCTCTATTCTACTCTGAATTGGTTAAACATCTCACCAGACAAGCAGTATGGTTTTCGCTTTCCTAGGTCAACAGCTGATTATTAATAGTTATTTCTGACGGAGTCTATCAAATTTTACATAAGAAACGTAAAGCTCGGGCTGTTACTTTAGATATCTCGAAGGCATTTGACAGGGTTTTACATGCTGGTCTTCACAATGTGAAAGGTGATGGCATTTCGGGACGAAATTTTAATTTGATTCAATCTTTCATATCAAATGTCTTGAAGGACCACAAGTGATTTAACTTGAACCTACGATATTACTAATTCTTATCAACGAAAAAATTTATTTCGGTTGAGCTCTCTGGGGAGGAAGCGTATTTTTTTTTAAACAGTGACTATTACGGCAAGACTCTTCGGTAAAACGAATGAAAACAGTCTGTTTGTGGCTGTCATATATATATATATATATATATATATATATATATATATATATATATATGTCTGTGTGTATATATGTATGTATGTATGTATGTATATATATATATATATATATATATATATATATATATATATATAATGTTCAAAGATATCGATGACTATAATAATAAGGACTAATTAAAAGCCTAATTTTCAACAGCGTCATTTGCTCATTCAGAATAACATGCGTGAAAGATACTAGTCTGCATCCTGAGAAATTTTATTATTATACATTTTAATATGAACAGCTGTATTATATATATATATATATATATATATATATATATATATATATATATATAAGTTTGGTTAAATGAAACGACTAGGTCTGTTAGTTTTAATCAAACTTGTTTGGATGAATACTTTCTATCTTACGATACCATATATATATATATATATATATATATATATATATATATATATATATATATATATACCTGTGTGTGTAGGTGTGTATGCATGTGAAGCTCTGTGTGTGTGTGTGCGTGTGTGTGGATGAAGAATATTTGCTTAAGTTCCACATTGTCTTGTATACATATATATAATCATATATATATATGTGTGTGTATGTGTATGTGTGTGTGTCTGTGTGTGTGGAGTAGATAGAGACCTGAAAAGTTCTCAGTCGGTGACAGTTTTCAAAATCTGATTAAATGGAACAAGATAATTTGGGGCGGGTGGCGAATCCATTCTCGGTTGGACAGAGAACTTTTCAGCCGTCCCCCCCGTCTTTATGAATATCAGATTGTGCATTTCACCTACCGTAAAAAAGAAAACGTTGATTCTAATGAACTTGATGAACTCATACTAATGTCACTCAGTACATAGATATGTAAATACACAATGATTTATTTAAGTACATCAGAAAGTAAACTTTGACCTACCATAAATACGTAAAAATAAGCGCAAACGTTTCCGCTTATATAAATTCTTTTTCGTTTCATCTATCTATCTATCTATCTATCTATCTATCTATCTATCTATCTATCTATCTCATTGTATTTTTATCTATCTATCTATCTATCTATCTATCTATCTATCTATCTATCTATCTATCTATCTATCTATCTATCTATCCCAGTTTCTTTCTTATCTATCTATCTATCTATCTATCTATCTATCTATCTATCTATCTATCTATCTCCGTCTGTTTCTTTCTGTCTTTCTTTTTTATATCTCATTATCTTTCTTTTTTTCTTTCTTTCTCGTTTTCTTTTTTCTTTCTATTTATCTATCTCTCTATCTGGTTTTCTTTCTTTCTATTTATTTTATTTTCTCTCTTTTTATTCCTTTCTTTATATTTCCTTTTCTTTCTTTCTTTCTTTCTTTCTTTCTTTCTTTCTTTCTTTCTTTCTCGTTTTATTTCTTTCTATTTATTTTACTTTCTCTCCTTTTCTTTCTTTCTTTCTTTATATTTCGTTTTCTTTCTTTCTTTCTTTCTTTCTTTCTTTCTTTCTTTCTTTCTTTCTTTCTCGAGTACTGCCATCGCTTGATTCAACCTCAAATATGGGCAGCGCGGCTCTGATATTTTAGTCCGTTTGAGTTAAAAAAATATTAGTTAAACTTGAATTAAAAATGACATTGTTTTTGTGGTTATCTCTTGCAGTAGTTTCGATATTTTCAATGTGTGCCATGTTTGATGACTTTTGAGCCCTTCCTACATCTGTACAGACACTCTATCGTCGAGAAATCACACTGACGCGCGCGTACGCAGCCCCCACACAACTGTATTTAACTGTAATATACGGAAAAATATGGGCACCTTGGCGTGGTGTATTGGTTATCACTGGGTGTCCCCTACTTTTGGCCTTGTGCCACATCTAAGCTAAGCTTGGAAAATCACTATACGGAAAAATATTCATAAATATAAGCAAACATAATGTAATTTATTCAATCAGACATACTTGATATATATATATATATATATATATATATATATATATATATATATATATATATATATATATATTGGGGACCTTGTGGCACGTAGTGCACCAGGTCTCTGTATTCAAAAAGTGTGGATGGTCCTGCACGAGGCCTTCACCGCTATAATCGAATCTCATGTGCCGGTGTCTGGGTGTCAGTTTCCGGAAAACTGATCTGCTTGACCCTCATACGTCGAACCCGACGGGAGAATCGATATATATATATATATATATATATATATATATATATATATATATATATATATATATATAATTATTATAACATAAATCACTACAAAAATAGCCATTTGTTTCAACACCTCCGGTGTCTTATCAAGTGATGATGTTGAATGTAAAATAAATAGTTTTTCCCTTGCGAAGGATCGTTAATTAATTTGAAACTTTTAAAACCATTTTCCTAAAATTTTTGTTCATATATAAAAGAATTACATATCGTTTTCCCTGATATATAGTTCAGTTGTTACAAATAAAGAACTATAGTATCGACACATGATACAATTATTGCAGTGAAAAGGAAAAGGGTTAGAAAATGGAAAAAAACATTTCTACTCAGATTGATAAAGAGGCAGCCGAAATTTCTTGATCACATAATGAGGAAGGAGGGCTGGGAGAATTTGACACTCACAAGATATATCGAATAAAAAGGGGTCACGGGGAGGCAGCAGGTGTGACGTGTGTGAAAGAATGGCAGAACGGGTACGGGAAGCCTGGCAAATGCTAAAATTGATAGGAGGTTGTGGAGAGCTATGATTACCATCGTAATTACTGATTAGACGCGGCGCGTAGAAGAGAAGTGAAGTGGTGTTAGAACTGACAAAGAACTGGTGCCACGAAATTTCCAAATAGCATTCTTTGAGTCCCAAACTCTCTCTTTTATATATATATATATATATATATATATATATATATATATAAGTGATAGAAAATTTAGGAGAATTTGAATAATCATAATTAAATAATTCATCGTGTCTAGAAGAAACCTCAGCAGAATGCAGAAAGCACTGGACGGCTGTTTCGTCCTATATTTAGAATTCATCAGCAGTGCGCATCCACTACCGAGAATTGAAACCCAGACCATTTCGATGTGAGATAAACTTCATACCAACTGTACCAACGGGCCTCGGTGACGAAGAGGTAACGAATTAGACTCGATATAGCGCCGCCCGATCACATATTCCGTGGTGGAACTCATCTGAGTTTCTCTTACCCATAGGACTGTGCCCCCACGAGCTACGACTACTATCCCCAAGCCGCTCCATCCAGTGCATCAAAAACCAGTTCAAGCAAGGATATATATATATAAGTGATATAAATTTTAGGGGAATTTGAATAATCATAATAAAGTAATTCATCGAGTTTAGAAGAAACCTCAACAGAATGCAGAAAGCACTGCAGCAATATATATATATATATATATATATATATATATATATATATATATATATATATCAGTTCGCACTCTTGCAACTTTCAGTTGACTAGAAAGATATATCCTAGTCGCCTTTAGATCACGAGAGCGTGAAACTAAAATAGCGATTCAAGGTACGCTGAAGTGTGTTTTGCTCTGACTGGATAGATGAGGTGTTGAGCACTTTAATTTAATGCTTGGGTAGGTGTTTGACATTTGCCTTTTTTTTTCTTTTATAGTTTGGAATTTTTTTGAGTTTTTTCATGTCTAAGGTTTTTCTTGTTTTTTATAGGCCAGCTACTCTGTTAGTCGCACCAACATTTTTGTATTCAAATTTACTCGTCAGTGTCAATCTTGCACATTTATAAATCTACCATTCGTTCTTGCATTGAATACTGCTGCCATATCTGGTCTGGTGCTCATGTATCGAGTCTCTTGATAAAATCCAAAGAAGGATCTGTAATGTAATCAATCTTTATTTGGCATCTGGACATCAGTCACTTTCTCAGCGAAGTGACGTGGTTTCCCTCTGTCTTTTCTACAAATACTTTCATATGCAACTGTTCTGACGAGCTTTTTTTTCCCTGGCATCCCGACTATATGCATTTATGTGTGCTACTAGATTGGCATCAATATCTCACCCCTTTACTCTTGAAATAGCTAAATGCAAATGCCACTTCTAGTCCAACGGTTTGTTTTCTCACACTTTACGCCTGCGGTACTCCTTTCCGTTTACTTACTTCCCTGATAACTACAATCTTTCAAAAATTTAAATGCAACGTCAATCGCCATCTTCTATTTTCTTGAATGCCGTTCATCTTTTATCCTTTCCTCAATAATCCCTATACTCAGTCTTTTCTCTCACTTGTGGCATTCCCGCTTTTGCTTGGGATGAAATGATTATATATATATATATATATATATATATATATATATATATCAAACACCAATCTTGCGGATTGTATTTGGGGGTTTAGAGAGTTATATGGTAGAAACCTATGTGTGAGAAAGGTGAAGCCTGGCAGAATCCGAGGCAACTGCTCCCGACTATATCAAGAGTAGAAATTGGCTATAGCTACATATCCTAATAGAGATGTGCTTCCGAATGAGAGAACTAAAATTTTGTCAAAGTGCAGGCATTTAAGTAAATATCTTCTGGGTGTGTATGAACCTGGATAAATGCAATGACAAAATTCATTTTCTCCCCTTACACTTTTCCTCTCACCCCCTTTCTCCTTTCCTCTCCCCTTACATCTTTCATTCTCTTTTCCTGGGGTCATATAAATTGGTGGAATATACTAGATTGTTCATCCTTCTATTTGCCTGAGGAGACCTTGCGGTCGAAACCCGGATAGCAAGGTATACAGCTTTTTAGTATTTTCGTATATATATATATATATATATATACATATATATATATATATATATATATATATATTTTACGTTTTGCAACTTAAGTTTCGTTTGTTTTACCAACTCATCAGGCTCGAAATATTTCGTGTCTGATGAGTTGGTAAAACAACGAAACTTAAGTCGCAACCCAAACGTAGGTATATGTATATTCATTAATATATATTTCTTAGTCCTGTCTAACCACACCGAGCACTATTGTTTATTCTTTAAAATAAATTTAATAAATATTTATTTACTTACCTGTGTATGCACGCTAACGCACGCATATACGAATGCTAATATCTAGTTATTTGATTTGTCCACTACTCTATCTATCTATCTATCTATCTATCTATCTATCTATCTATATATATATATATATATATATATATATATATAAGATGTATTTAAGCAGCAAGTATTCATTATAAAATATTTGGTTGAATAATATCGATAAGTTCTTACTATGCAATTTTTTTAATGAACTTTTTAAATTTCCGAAATAGTTGTTTCATATAATCATTTTTATTTTTTGTTTTTATTTCGAGAACTTTCTCAGAGTGCTACATTCATTTTCAATTATTCATTCGGAATTAACCAAAAACAGATAAACAAGCACAAATACAATCCTTGAAAACAAATGTAGCAACATTCGAAAGTACTCGGGGGAAAAATAAAATAAAATAAATACAGTAGTAAATTTAACGATCGAATAATCAACTCGGAAATTTGAAAATGTTATTAAAAAATTAGACAGAATTTGCAAATAGGCATGACCAAATTTATCCGTCCGCCTGTGCTAATCAGAAATGGCATAGGCTTTCTGCTCAATAATTTTAATTTAGTAAATAGCATTAACTTTTCTGGGTTTTTTTTATGTAAATATTTTCTATAGTTAATATCGAATATATTACAAATTTCTTTTGTCATATTGTTCCTTTGTTTGAAAGTAAAACCGTTCTAACTCTACTAAATTTCTATGTTGTCTTGACTGAAGCGTAACTTTAATTTCTATTCTATTTTACTGTTTGAATCATTTCAGGCGTTGATCTTGTCTTTGAGCTGAATTTTTACTAAGGCACTTATGAGTTTAGGATCATTATCATGTTGGAAAGTGAAGTGTCGTGTTTCGAAAATGCACCTGGCACATATTTTTACATTTTCCGAGAAAGTATTACGTTACAAATTTCGAACAAACGGCTGTGTGGCTTGAACACTCACAAATCATAAGATTCTCACTACCTTACCTCTAAAAATTCCCCTCTTTTCTTTCAAACCTCTCCGTAACTGATTCCAACCAAAAAAAAAAAAAAAAAAATTCTATTTTAGTCTCATTACTGAGTTCCAAGTTGGCATGTAATAATTCCAATCGAGTCTAGCAATGATGACATTGGATCAAAAATGTTTTCTGGACGCTAAATATTGTATATACTCGTGTATAAGTCGACTTCATATACAGTGCGACGGTTGATTTGTTTTTGTGAAATACCTTGCAAACAGAAAAAAGACTAACAGGTGTCCACAGTTGGAGTGATTTTGGTTTGCTTTACGGTATATCAACCCATTGGGTCATTTAATGTCAAAATTTAATATTTATTCTAAATAGTCTTATATGTAAATAGTCAAAAAGTTTTATTTTAACTAGTAAGACTGCTGTTATTGTTATAAATTCCAATCGAGTCTGGCAATGATGACATTGGAATAAAAATGTTTTTCTTGGACGCTAAATATCGTATATACTCGTGTATAAGTCGATTTAATGTATAGTGCAACCCTTGATTTGTTTTTTCAAAAACCTGATTTTTTTCTCATATAGCTCGTGTATAATGCGACCCCCACCTCTTGTAGGCCTAACGTAGGCCAATAGTGCAGTACTGGCCATCAACATGGACATATTTTCATTGCAAATAAATAGTCTTCTTCCTTTATTGTACAAAGCTACCCTAAAATAGTAAGGACCCCCCCCCCCACCAGCAAAAAAAAAACTCACCATGAAATATCTGATACGAAGATTTAGATTCCTTGTAAATAGAAAAAAAGACTAGTTGAATTGGTTTGGATTGGTTTACGGTACAAATAACCAAGTCTTAAATGTAAATAGTCAAAAGGTTTTATTTTTAACTCGTAAGACTGATATTAGTTATGGTTATAAAGTGCAACCCTTGATTTGTTTTGTAAAAAAACCTGATTTTTTTCTTATAGCCCGTTTATAATACGACCCCCCCACTTCCTGAGCAATATTAGTACGTCTAGTGTAGTGAAATATTGCAGTACTGGCCTTCATCCGGGACATTTTATAGTAAATAAATCATCTTCATTCTTTATTGTACAAAGCTATCTCAAAATGGTGAGAAAAACCACTTACCTTATAATATCTGATACGAAGATTTAGATACCTGTTGCATGTTTCTTAATCTCTTCAAAAAATTACCTTTTTGCGTCAATATTTTTGTCTTAATGTTTTTACCTGAATATTTTTTGCCTCAGTTTTTTTTGCTACAATAATTTCTTGATTCAATATTTTTTCCTCAATATTTGCTTGAATAAGTTGGAAAATGATCCTGGATATATATATATATATATATATATATATATATATATATATATATATATATATATATATATATATATATATATATATAATTTAAATCAATCTTCCTGATGTTCTGATCTTTATCTATGATTAATGAGGAACATGTCATATTCATTTATTATCGATTTCATCACGATTAGACTAATTATCCATTCGTATTGCTCAAAGTAGAATCCAATAATATTATAAAAGCCTCGGAGAATTCCAGTAGAATATTTTTAATCATTTCTAAAATACAACAATTCAAAGTTTAATTTAACAATTGGACAATTTTGGTGTTATACGATTTGACCAAGTTTGCTGTTACACGCGTTACATACATCCATATATACATACACACATTATATAAATATAAATATATGTATATATATGACAAAAATATAATTATAAAATATGCTATATCTATATATAAATGTGCTCAATATCAGAGAAAGTGTATGTAAATATGGAAGTGGACACTGAGGTCAACGTCAAGCTGCGACAGTCTGTTTCAAACAGGAAACAGACTGTAATATATTGGTGTTGACCTCAGTGGCCACTTAAATATTTACATACCACCTGTCTCTGATATTGAACACTTTTATCCATGAAAATATCATATCTTAAAACCATATCCTATATATATATATATATATATATATATATATATATATATATATATTAATAATAAATTTCATAAATCGTCGCGTGTTGCTTGAATAACTACTGAATATTTTACATATATATGTGTGTGTGTATTGCGTATATTTTGACACCATGTTTTCATTAACACGTCTCAGTAAATCATCTAGAAGATGTGACTACTTATTTTTAATAGAATTCTATCGTAATTACTGACAAGATTTTTAGTATCCTTACTGAAGAAAGAAAGAAAATTAACATGTTGATACATATATTCATTTTATTCATGAAGAATACAGCATATTTTGTCTTAGAAAAAACAAAACCTGATGACGACATTGTGCTAATGTCGAAAGTACTCAGAATAAAATGAATACGCATCAACATGGTAATTTTCCTTCTTCCGTTAATAAGGTTACTACGAAACTTATACGTAATTATGTGAGGATCCTATTAAAAATGAATACACGAAACTTATGCAAATTATTTAACGAGAAATAGCTTAATCTCTCCTCTCTTTATATATATATATATATATATATATATATATATATATATATATATGCATATATATACGTATATATCTACTATATATATAGTAGATATATACTATATATATATATATATATAGTAATATACCATATATAAAGTATATATCTATATATCTATTATATATATAGTATATATCTACTATATATATAGTAGATATGTATCTAGTATATATATCTAGTAGATATATATATGCGTATGTATATAAAAATAAAAAGAAAGAACAGTAAGATATATAATCCGGTGTTCTTATGGATATTTTTATTTTTACAAAATAGTGCTCAATGTAAATTTACAGAGCATTAATATTATAAATTAATTGATTTAAAATATATTGATTTTAAATATATATGCGTATATATCTACTATATATATATATATATATATATATATATATATATATATATATATATGGGTATAAATCTATATATATATATATATATATATATATATATATATATATATATATATATATGAAATGCTTTAGTTGCTCACCGTATCGAGACTGACAACAACTAAGATATAAAAAATGGTAAAGAAGAAAATAATTTTCTAAGACGTAAATGTTAAAGAGTTCTTTGATTGTTTGATGATCCATTTGCGCCGAGGTTCTTGCAATATTTGATATTTAACCATTCTTGGCGGATCTTCTATTATCCCAGTGGAGGATATCTAATAGCAAATGTGAAGGAAACTAAAAGAAAAAGAATCTAAATAAAATCGACTACAAGATATGCCCAATAAAAAAAAGGATAAACAAATCATAACATTATATAATTATTATATAACATTAGCGTTTTCCACTTCACGCGTTAAAAATTAATTTTCAAATCATTTTTGTTTTTTAAAAACAATATGCTGATGACGACTATGTCTCTCTCTCCCCTTTTTTTTCTCTCCATATATATATATATATATATATATATATATATATATGTAAATATAAAAGTGGACATTGAAGTCAACACTTAGAGATGACAGGCTGTTTCATACTAGACCCAATAAATGTTGACTTCAATGTTCACTTTTATATTTACACACGCTCTATCTCTGATATTGACCACTTTATCCCATAAATATAGCACACTTTAAAATTATATTTCCTCATATATATATATATATATATATATATATGAGGAAATATAATTTTAGGTGTTACTATATTTCTTCATAAATATATATATATATATATATATATATATATATATATATATATATATATATATATAATTTAAGCTCCACTTCTGTATGGAGCACTGTTTTAAAAATAAAACGAAAATACTAAAGAACTCCGGATTATTTACCTAACGTGTTCTTTCTATTTTTCTACATAGCTGCACGCACACACACACACACACACACACACACACACACACACACACACACACACACACACACACACACACACACACACAATCATATATATATATATATATATATATATATATATATATGAAGAAATATAGTTTTAAGGTGTGCTATATTTATAAGATAAAGTGCTCAATATCAGAGATAGAGCGTATGTAAATATAAATATAAACGTGAACATTGAAGTCAACAGTCAGAAACAGCATGAAACAGCCTGTTGCCTCTGAGTGTTTACTTCAATGTTCACTTTTTATATTTATATTTTATATATATATATTTATATATATATTTATATATGGATAGACAGACACAGGTATATATCTTTACATATTTCGTTCTTTCTCTCTTACACGCATTTCTTTGTGTGTATGTGTTTGTGTTTGTGTGTGTGTGTCAGTAGATGTTCCAGTTTGTACGCCATAGTTCTACAGAAAGATGCTGAGAATAGTATGGACTGAAAATATGTTCGAGAAGGCAGTTTATGTAAAATAGAAACAAAATGTCACTTGTACTTAGAATTATAAAGAGTCAGCTAAAGTTTGTGTGACACATAATGAAGAAAGTGGGCTTGGATTATTTGACACTTGTAGGACATATTAGTGGTCAGAAGACAGGAGGAAAGCAATACATTGAAATGTATTCTTTCTTTCTTTACCGTCGTTCTTTCTTTCTTTCTTTACCGCCTTTCTTTCTTTACCGCCTTTCTTTTTTTACCGCCTTTCTTTCTTTCTTTCTTTCTTTCTTTCTTTCTTTCTTTCTTTGCCGCCTTTCTTTCTTTCTTTCTTTCTTTCTTTCTTTCTTTCTTTCTTTCTTTCTTTCTTTACCGCCTTTCTTTCTTTCTTTCTTTCTTTCTTTCTTTCTTTCTTTCTTTCTTTCTTTACCGCCTTTCTTTTTTTACCGCCTTTCTTTCTTTCTTTCTTTCTTTACCGCCTTTCTTTCTTTCTTTCTTTCTTTCTTTCTTTCTTTCTTTCTTTCTTTACCGCCGTTTCTTGTGTTGTTTCGTTCAAATATTCATTCATTCATTCATTCTCTCCGTTATTCCATTTTTCTTTTCGTTCTTTCGTTACTTCGTTCGTTGTTTTCTTTCTTTTTTCTTTCCTTCTTTCTTTCCTTCTTTCTTTCTTTCTTTCTTTCTTTCTTTCTTTCTTTCTTTCTCGTAGTCAGTGTATGTTAGTTGATATGTCTCAAAGAATGTTTACCCATTGTGCACGTAAACGTACACTTGACCTATTCAGCCGTTTTATTGACACATGCATTGCAGATCTTTTTTGGTTTATCGGCCTGTAAATATTCATGAACAAATACTAATAGAACTCCAAGGATTGGTGATGAATAGATAGATAGATAGATAGATAGATAGATAGATTGTGTGAGATGATGATAATGATGATGATGAGAAGGAAGAGGAGGAGGAGAAGGAGCAGGAGAATGTCGATTGATATAGTGGTCATGAATTTCAGTCATTTTGGACATAGTCATTAATATATGCATATATCACTGCATATTGGTTAATCTATCTGTCTCTGACAGGTTACATCTATCTATCTATCTATCTATCTATCTATCTATCTCAATCTGTTCATTATCTATCTATCTATCTATCTATCTATCTATCTATATTGTATCCATTATCATCAGTAAACTTTTTGAGGCCACAATCGATAAGATTGTCAATCACTTAGAAAAGAGCAACCTCTTCAGTGACGAGTAGTATGAGTTTCGATCGGCCCGATCCACTACCGACGTCCTAACTACCATCACTCACAAACTCAGTGAGGCTCTTGATGACAAACAAACCCGTGGACTATAGCATTAGATATCTCAAAAGCTTTCGACAAGGTGTTGCACAAATTTTACTACACAAGCTCTCCAGTTATAGAATCACTAGAAGGCTCTTCTCAATCATAAAATTCTTTCTCTGAAGTTAATTACTAATGGCCAGTCCTCCGGATCCCTAGCGATCAACGCAACGCACCCCAGGGGTCACGCTTCGGACCAATCCTCCTTTTGATCTACATAAATGATCTGCCTAACAATATACTCGGCTCATTTGTAAACATCTATGCTGATGATACGATTTATATACGAACGCACCTCCTAAAACTATCGATCGACAGAATTTGGTGACTGATGTCTCTCCCAATCTTGCAGAAACTACCAAATCGGGTACCAAATCCGGATGGTTACATTCAATGCCACGAAGACCAAGCGAGTTACATTCCATCATTGCCGATCAGACCCCGAACTACCACCAATCAGGATGAGCGGTGGTTCTCTCAGAGAAGCAGCGTGCCATGAAAGACTGTTTGGCCTGAAACCCACACTCGACCTCAAGCGGGACTCGTAAAATGGACGGCTCTCTGAAAAGCTCCAGTAAGTACCTGGCACCTCCTGCTATTCTCTCCCTTCACAAGAGGCAGATCAGAACAAAAATTGAACACTGTTATCCTATTTGGGTGGGAGGTGCCCAGACCTCACTCTCCAGGCTTGATAGAGTCCAAAAGCGTCTCCAAGCCCTTGTGATTGACGGATTATTCTCCATCTTCGAACCTCGCTTTCTCAAAGGCTGGATGTGACAAGACTCTTGAAACTCTATCGCTACTTCTACGGAAAGTGCTTGGACGAACAACAATTCTTGGTTCAGTCGGGCCTAACCTTCATTTGTAGGAACCGCCATGCCGCTTACATTGTAGCAAATCACCCACATTCCCCCCGTATTTCATCGGTGAGAAGTAATTTCTACTCGAGCAGATTCTTCTTGCAAACCACTGACTAGTGGAACCGACTCCCAAGAGGATGTCTGCACGATCACAGCAATCTTAGAATGTTCCAGTCTAGGGTTAACCATTATCTTACTCTCTGGTACGCCCAAATGACCTGCTAATGTAAACCTCTATCGCGAGTGGCCCCCGGGCCTTGTAAAGGGTGAACCTTACGGGAAAAAATCTATCTATCTATCTATGATAGTGAGTTGACTTGTTGATGTATATATGTGTCTGTATGTACGTGTGTAGGCGCTAGAGTATAACTATACGTATATATATATATATCTATATATATATATATATATATATATATATATATATATATATATATATATATATATATATACGCACCCACATTTGTATTCTGAAAAAAAATGAGTAAAAACGTGTCACGTATTTACATATATATATATATATATATATAACTGTCGCCTCTGAATGTTGACTTCAATATTTACATACGCTCTATCTCTGATATTGAGCACTTTATCCTATAAATATAGCACATTTCATGTTTAAATATATATATATATATATATATATATATATATATATATATATATATATATATATATATATATTTAAGACATTTTTTATGTTTATACATTCTTTTTATAGATACAAATATTTAAGTAAATGCTCTTTTTATAATAAACAGTATTAAACAACATTTACCGGCCTGAATGTCCGAGAAATTTTCATAGAAAATATGCGTCCTCCGACAGGAATCGAACCTGTATCCTATATGGAACCGTCATATAGTCTGATGTGCCTTTAACCGTTTGGGTCACAGAGTAGCGTTCGGTGAGCAAGGTCGATTTTATTGTTTTTAAACACAATTCTCCATGATTTTCTCTTATTCATTCATATCTGCTCAATGCGTATCTAAATGTAAAAAAAATGAGGTCATACTTTATGAAATGGACAATTATATAAGACATTTTAAAATGTCTTAAATAATTATCGGACTTTGTCCATTTCATAATGTACATATATATATATATATATATATATATATATATATATATATATATATATATATATATATATATATATATATATATATATATATATATATATATATATATATATATATATATATATATATATATATATATATATATGCATATATATATATTTAAATATATATATATATATATATATATATATATATATATATATATACATACATATATATATACATATTTATATATATGTATATATATATATTTAAATATATATATATATATATATATATGTGTGTGTGTAAGGAGTGAGAGAGAGAGTTGATGGTAACCACTTAGTGAAAATGATCGCCAAGTTATTTCCATTGAAGAAAAAATAGAAACAATAACACACACACACACACAAGAACGAAATATCTAACACCGTGCGCCAAACAAGCACTTGTGGGTCCAAAGAAAAACTCATTTTCTTATTTTCAATATATTTTTTACCTAACTCGTTTAGGTATGTATTTGGTGTGGGGCTGAGATGGTGTGGCTACCGAGCCATTTTGACTCGGATTCTTGGCGCCCCACCCTTGTGATCGTTTTGGTTGCTAATTAGATGAGGAATAAATTTACCATTTAATCTGAGAGATCTATGCACTTGATGACACAACTTCTGAAGTTCTTTTCTTCTTATTAATAATATTCAGAACATTATTATTATCATTATTATTCAGAACTTGCCTGATGGTTATCGTTGGGGATTAAGTGACAGCAAGTCACCCTAAATCTACCGCATATTACCCAGTATTCACAAAGACACCAGAAATACCCAAATCTAACAATTCTTTCTAATATATCGAATCTTCATTCATTGTTGTTTTTTTTCTTTGGTGATATTCCAGATGCGCCAAATATAAACTTAATATTCCATAACTTTCTCAGTTCCTTGACAAGGTTTTAGAATTTTTATAAATGTTCGCCTTCACCCTGTCTTACGAAATTATTTATAGAAAAGACAAAGGGAGGCAACCTTAGGACGGCGGGAAAGTGACTGAAGCCGATAGGACAGATCGGGGCTAATAATATTGCTGATTTTCTTTTGGATTTTATCAAGGAGCAATAGATAGATAGCAGGAGCACCGGACCATATATAGCAGTGATGTTGTAAGCATGGACGGATGGTAGACTTATAGATATGTAAGATAGATTCTAGAGAGAAAAATTGTCTCGCACGACACAGTGAACCAACTTTTTTAGCAGCTGATCTAGCAAGGGATTCAATGTAGTCTTTATGCTTCATGACAGCCGAGAACGTTAGCCCAAGAAGGCGCAACGAGTCGCTCTCCTGGAAGTCGACAAAAAAAGAAAGGGGTCTCTCAGATGATTAATTTTGCTTTAAAATTTCATTATATTTTTTATCAAAATATATTACGTTTGGAAGAACACTATATCCTGGGTGTAATAACAAAATTGTCCAAATCGTGTAATAACATGCGATAATTGTCCATCCCACAAAATATTTAATATCTAAAAAAACCACTAAACTAATTGAGTTTCTTTTTTCCACGTTTTCAGTTAAGACATTTAGCCATCTTGACACCATTTATCGTAAGAATCACTGAAATACCCTTTGAGTTATTCAGCTAGAAAGAAAACAGGTAAAAATTGTTTTGTGTCAAACCAACTGTCTTTCCAAATGAGCAATGATGAGATGAAAAAGATCATTCAGACCTTCGGCAATGATACCAACATTCATACGCTGGCTTCCATCTTTAAAGTCCATTCAAGAACCATCAAGAAAACGGTGAATAAGGTTAAAAAGGAGGGAACGGTAGAGAGGAAAACTGGATCAGGAGGTCACAACAGGAAGAGGGATTATCATTTCAACTTAAAGCTAAAGAGATCAATTAGAAAAGATCCAACTCAATGCAAAAAACGTTTGGCACGTGGAAGAAATAACCGAGGAATAATTAAGAAATAATCAATATAGTATCGATGAATTACTGTATTGATTATTCTAATTCCTCAAAATTCTATTATTGGTATATCCTTGCTTGAGCCAGGTAATGCTCTGCGAAAGAGCAGCTAAGGGGAAAGGAAAGACGTGGCTCCTGGGGGCACATTCCATTGGGCTATAAATACTTTGCGGGAATTTATGAATAGCGAGACTAGTCAGTTTCTTCTTCGTTATCGAGGCCCATTGGTGCAATTAGTATTATGATTCCGTTGTATCGTGTTTCTATTCTTGGTAGTGGAAGCTGATGTGTCCCAAATAAGGCAAAACGCTAGTCCAGTGCTTTCTACATTCTGTTGAAGATTCTTCTAAACTCAATGAATTACTATATATATATATATATATATATATATATATATATATATATATATATATATATTCAATTCATTCATATGTGTGTGTGTGTGTGTTGCTTTACTCCCCAGCAAGCTGAAAAATGTAAGAATGTCGGCAAACTAAATATAATATAAAAAGGATTTGATATTTATAGTTGAGCAAATTTGAATATATATATATATATATATATATATATATATATATATATATATATATATATATATATATATTTGTCTGGTTATAGTTAAGGATTAGGCAGAAAAAAGAACGATCTTAAAAAAAAAGAAAGGAAAATGAAGAATGTGTTAGTCCCTTTTTATTGGTCCGTAGATTAGCAAATCAGCAGCTAATGACAAGGTAAAAAAGGAGTTTGTTCCTCCAAAATTCTTCAGTTAGAATTTTCGCCTTGTAGAAAAACGTTGGGTTTGCAACTGCTAGGATTGGGAATTATCTCTCACTTGCTTTTTCCTCTCCGTCACTGACAAGTAGGCAACAAAATTTCATTACTGCTGCCAATAAAAATAGCCAGTACAGACCATATGCGATGTCATCTTTAATTCTACAAAAATGGAC